CCAGATTGGAAGCGCGTTTTGCGCCAACCAAGCATGTGCGCCGAAGTGTTGGAACCCCCACCCATCCCCCACGCATGAGCACACACGGCAGTTGAATCAGTCTTAGCCGGAAAGCACGGGAGATCACTTCGCCCACTGCCTCATCGCCTCTGATAATGTCCACCGCAGTTGTGGACGAAACGTCAGCAAGAAAAGCCCATAGATCACGGCTTCAAAGCCCGGAGAACATTCCTAAATGTGAAACTGATTGGTTGTTCAGGTGCGCAGCCTCGTTGTGGGCAACCCCAAGCTGCCGCTGTCCGTGACGGAGAACTGGGGCTGGAAAGACATCCCACAGGCGGAGCAGGAAGCCAGCATGGTTGCCGAACTGCTGCAGACGCAGGCCACCGTAGGCAGCAACGCCACCAAGGAGCAAATCCTCAGCCAGATGCAAGAGGCTGAGTGCATTCACTTTTCCACTCACGTTTCCTGGAAACTGTCCAGCTTGGTGCTGAGCCCAACTGAGGTAGGCTCCAGGTATTCTGGGCGAAACGTGGCCAACACGCACTATCCCCCACAGGTTCTAGATCAGTCGCAGAGCAAGAGACTGGGCTACATGAGCGACGGGCTGGAAGAGGACGAGCACACCGAAGTCTCCATAACTGCCGAGCTGCCGCCCCTCTCCGAATTCCTGCTCAGTGCCGCCGACATTCTGTCGCTGAAGCTCGTTGCCAAGCTGGTGGTGGTCAGCTCCTCCCACACACGGGACCAACAGGGATGGGCCACCTCCGATGGCCTGATCGCCCTGGTGAGGGCTCTGCTGGCCGCAGGCGCCCAAGCAGTTCTAGTCTCTTTGTGGCCGGTGCCCGACACCGCCACCAAAATCCTGCTGAGGTACTGTGCGCCCCATAAACCCTCACTCACACATTGCGACTCCCTCCGCTTCCAGGGCCTTCTATTCGGCGCTCCTGCAAGGCACCAGAGCCGCGAAAGCGCTGAGCGAAGCCATGCAAACCGTCCAACATACCAAGCATTTTGCGCATCCGGCCAATTGGGCCGGCTTCGTTCTGATCGGTCTCAATGTGAGACTGTCCAATAAGGTGCGTTGAGTTGAACACTTGTGTGTTTCTGAGGCTCAAATCTGACTGTTTAGGTGGCCTTGATGGGGCAGGCCTTGTGCGAACTGCTGCAGATTCCAGAGAAGTGCCGGGATGCGCTGCGCGTGACGCTGCACCTGGTGGAGAAGAGCCTGCAACGCATCCACCGCGGGCAGAAAAACGCCATGTATACGACGCAAAAGTCGATCGAAAACAAGGCAAGTGAGCTCGATAGGGGCGGCTTAGCGGGTGCTGATGTGGCTTTGCAGGTTGGGAGCGTCAGCGGCTGGAAAGAGCTGCTCATGTCGGTGGGCTTCCGCTTCGAGCCGGCCTCCAATGGGATCCCCAGCAGCGTGTTCTTCCCCCAATCCGATCCAGAGGAGCGCCTGACGCAGTGCTCGGCCAGTCTGCAGGCCCTGCTAGGTAAGCGCCCCAAGCTCTCCAAGTTCCAGAACTAACTGAGCCGTTCCAGGCCTATCAAACACGTCCATCCAGGCCCTGTCCAAGCTAACAACCAATCCGGATGTGGCGGATGACATCATCGCAGTGATCCAGTCCAGTTTGTCGCAGTTCTCCTCCAAGCTGACCGACAGTGAGAGCGTGGAAGTCGCCTTGAACGTTCGGTAGGTCTGCACCTCCCAAGGCTCCAACCTTGCTTACAGTGTGGTTTAGGCTGTGGCGCATCCCCGGCTGTCATGAACTGCTGGCCAGTCTGGGCTTCGACCTCTGCGACGTCGGCCAGGACAAAGTCACCCTGCGGACGGGCAAGCAGGCCAACAAGCGAAACATCCAGTTCACCCTGCAAGCCCTGCTGGCCCTATTCGGTTCGTCACCGTTTAAAATCCCCAGGCCTGTTCACAGGACAGTTCTTTCACTCCTTAGATACGCAAGAGGCTCCCAAAAGCCTCACCATTGACTCATCCAGCAGCCTGGAGTCGCTGGCCTCGGTGGACAACGACTACCCCCACTCGGACAACGAGATCTGCACCACGCCCCAACCCACTCCCAAGGCGGTGGCGAAGCGTCCGCCTCCTCTGTTCAGCCGCACGGTGTTGCCCAATAAGCGACTGGGCGGAGCGTTCACGTCCTACGTGAGGAGGCGGGGTACGTTCCACGTTGCCCATGTGCCCATGAAAATTACCTGAACGTTTGATCGCGTTCCAGGTGAGCCGGACGGACGCACAGCGAATCCAGGCGATGTGAAAAGCTTGGCGGATGTAAAGCCGCGTAAAACAGGCACGCTGGCACGTCCGGGGGGCGGCGAATCGGACGCCGCCTTCACCCCCAGCCCGCCAGTCGCGATGCAAGCGGAGTCCACCAGCATGGCCATGTCATTGGCGCACCAAACCAGGATCAGGTACGAACGTGCTACGAAGCCAGCTGAGGGGCTGAACGATGCGATTTCCAGAAACCTCTACTCGCAAAATGAGCCGAAGGCCGACCCTCTGAGGCCGGACAGTTCGAGCTCGGCCAGCTCGGCTACTGACTGGGAGAGCGGCCACGCCACTGTGCTGCGCCGGCAAACTCAAAATCAAGTAAGTGCCGCCCCCAGACGCTCAACCTGGTTCTGCACGCGCCCTTTTGCAGATGCCGCCGCTGCCGCCTCCCAGATCGACCAAGCCCTTGGTGGATCTGCCCCTCTACAACAACCTGCCGCCCGGGATTTTCGAGAACAGCTCCGACAGCGAGCTGGAGAAGATGGAGGCGAAAATGTTCAACGCCCCCCCATCCCGGGGGAAAATCGCGATGAAGAAACCGAGGGGGTCGCTGTTCACCATCGACAGGCTCAGTGTGCGGACGGGGGTAGGAGGCGGCAGCTTATTGTGGTCTTCTGGGGGTAATTTTGGCTTTCGCAGATGGCCCTGCCTGGGCAGCCCTCCCACCACCAGAACCCGTCGGCGGTGACCAGGAAACCGATCACTCTGCCCAGCGAAGAGACGCTTCCCTCTAACGAGCGCCTCCTCTACTTCTCCCCCAACGATACGGACGCCTCGGCCACATTGTCTTCTTTGGTTTCCATGGCGGGCGGCGTGGGGGGCAACCCCGTGGGCGCAGACCCTGAGGAAACGGAACTGGGCGCCGCCAAGGAGGCAAAGGCTGGAAGCGCAGCTGCGCTGCACGACACCATCCTGGCCACGCAGCTGCGCCACATCAACAGAGAGCTGACACCAACGATTTCAGAGGTGGGAAATTACCAATGAGAATTCGCCAAGCTACTGCCCAAATGCTTTGCAGGTGTACCACGAGCGGAACATTGGGCTGGGGCTGGCGCCCCCACTGTCCAAGCTGCTCCTCAACCAGTCCAGCAGCTCGGCGCCCAAGACGGACAACACGGTGCTGGAGAAAATCACTTTGGGTAGGACGCAGACGACAACTTGGCAACCGCGTTGGTTAACCTGGGGAGGTTTTCAGGCATCCTGGACGACGAGGACATAAGCAACGAGCTGAACAGCTCCCAATGCCAAAGATGCAACACCGAAAGCTGCGCCTGCCAAAAGCCGAAGAGCAACAAGCCATGGCTGACGGAAAACGCCATGGCGTTGCAGCAAATCCAGAGCTCTGATCTGACCACCGCCGACATTCTAGAGCGGGAAGTGAAAAACAAACTGGTCCTCCGGTAAGCCAGCCCCAACTGCCCATCTAGCAAGCCATTAAATCCTTTCGCAGCTCCGAACAGCGACAGAAGGACGAGATGGAACTGAAGCGACTGTCGCCCTTTTCCGAAATGTCCAGACGCGACGAAGGCGATGGACGCAGCATTGCCGATTCCACATCATCCAGCTACAAAACCACGCAATTCCTAACGTATCACGGCGCCCCTGATAAAAACAAGGGGAAACCCAGCGCTAAGATGCGAACCATTCCGAAACAGCGGCGCAACATGCAGAGTTAACTCAACATGGAGGGCCGAACCCCACAGTGTTTGTGTATCAAACCGGTCAGACATTAGCAATGCGTAACAGTCCAAAGGAGATCTAGAATAGTTTTGTCAATTGTCATTTTAGCCGGATTAAGAGGAAACTGTTAAAGTTGTTAGATGTTTATGAGGCGCCCTCGTAACTAAGGCTGATTTTTATTTATTGACCACGGCAACAGCCAATAATGGTCCATAGTAGAGCAATTGAACTGCACTAGGATTAATTTTATCAATAAACCAATAAACGAATTGTTTAGCCAAAAACAAGGGCGAAATTCACTTCAATAGGAATCCACGACTATACTAGGCAAGGCGTCAGTGATTTTCACCGTAGGTTCGAGCCGCGACTATACATGGGGGCTGGTACAGTATAGTCGCGGACTCAATTTACGAAAAACCCGCAAGTTTCACCAAGGCTGAAAACGTGGCTCGTGGCTGATCGCTGTACAGCTCGCAGCGAAAGGAACTCAGATGTGAACATTGCCCTTTTAAAATCGCGTTTTGTGACCGAACAATGGTTGAATCAAAGACTGGCGGGTGCAGTCGCAGTCCCAAAAAAAGTAAGTCGCTGGACGAAGTCCAGTCGAACCACGAAACGCAAAAAAGAGGGTTTTAACTAGGAAAACTGCAATGATTTTAGTAGTTTTTCAGCCTTACGAACAAAGCATTTGCGAGAGGAGTCCACGACTATACCGCTGGTACGGGTAGTGTAGTCGCGGAATGAGCGCAAAGAATCATCGAGTTCGAATCACCGACGATTTGTCCAGTATAGTTGCGGACTCAACCAACAGGCAAAATTCAAATTCTGCAAACCCGCAAGCATTTTTCAAAAATCAACCAAACCCAATAGAGAAAATTCGGCAAGAGGCTTAGAAGTGATTGAGAAGCAGATACACTTCAAGGCCTCTACGGCCCGGATTAGTCAAAATACCAGGGTTTACACCAGATACTTTCCATCCTCCGGATGCAGGATAATCGGTAGCGACCCAAAGCATTTAATTTGATAATCGCACCCAGATATCTCCCTCTCAACAACAATGCCAAGCTTTCGATGTTTTCCAACCGCGGAATCCCCACTTGGAGTTGGAAAACCAGCGCGAAGAATCCAAACAATTGAATAATCGCACTCTCTCTCGCGAGCTCGCAGCAGGCCGTGCTGCTGATGTAGGTTTTCGTGTTTGTGCGGAAATTCGTTTTTTTTGAAGCTGCGGAAAATGTGGATTTTCCCTCGACCCTGTGCGCTTGGCAGTTGCCCGACGTGTTACCAGAAGAGCTGCAAGAGGATCATCCAGTAACTTCAAAGTGCAAAGTGTCGGTTGATTGTGACCAAAAGTTGAATGGCGAATAATGACAAAAGTTTGTTGTTCCTGCTGGACACGTTGCCAGGCGTTTAACGGATAAAGTGTTAGGTAAGTGTTCAGATTTTTCCTTAAGGAATACTTTTCAAACTCAAATCTCCCTCCACAAAGCGGTCAATTCCCATTCGCGCAGCGTAGAGGATGCGTAGTTTATGGGCTTTAAACACTCATACCGTATAGGAATATCAATATGAGTTCGCGTCCAAACTGGGCCATCATCAACTGCACTATAACGCGAAGAGAAAACCCGATGGCAGATGAAAGTAAAATGAAGGAATTGAATCTAATTAGCATACTTCGCTTACTGCATTGCCGAAGCCGATTAATATTTTCTAATAATGTACCAGAACTAACATAATTGTTGTAGAACCAGGCATGCAATCGTTGTTGTATTTTCATTAGTTTGAAAGTGCACTCAACTTGGCGGTGGGCCAATAAACCGATCAAATCACGGCTGTGGTGTAAACATGGGCAATCCAAGCGGCCTAATTATGAACATTTTTGGCTCCTACTCCCGAGCCAACTAGGCTGCACTTGACTGGGTTTACACCTGGCCTTAGCGATATTTTTAAGCCAATAATGACAATCCCTATAAAAACTGGACTTGGCATTATTCTCGCCGCTCGATAGAATTAGCTTGACCTTTTTCTCGTTAAGTAACCGAGTGGCCACTTATCGGACGACCTTACCTTACATTTCAAAACGCAACTTTCCATCCATTCGATTCTAGATATGAAGAATAATGGTAACAAGCACTCAAAGTGCCTGCTGGATGTGTATTGCCTAAGTGGTCAAGCGTGTGCATATTGCATTTGAAAAAAATGAAAACCACCGATTTCCCTTCATTAAACGATGATTTATTTAGCAAACGGTCAATCACACTCGTCGTGTGCGTGTGTGGCGTTTCAACCAAATCGAATAATGGGAATTATTACTGAATTAACAGGAAGCGTTATAAAGCAACTGCTTTGGGCCTTGGCCCCATCAAGACTACTCGAATAATGGCGTTATTGAGA